GCGCTGACAGGATGACAGTTGTCCTTGTCTTAAGCAGCTCCTGGTTTAGTGTGGTGGTCCTCAAAGTGGGGCCCAGGGAATCATTTAGAGGGTTTGAGAGGTCAGAAGTGTTTTCCTGATGACACTAAGATGTTATTTGCCTTTCTTGGTTTCTGCACTCAATGCAGTTTTCCAGATGTTCTGTGATGTGTGATTTGGTGATGGGTGGAATGCAAAAGGGATGAGAGTCCAGCTGTTTCTGTTAGACCAGATGTTAAGGAGATTTGCAAATGTGTAAAACAATGCTACCCTTTTCAGTATGTTTTTTTGTTTTGTAAAAAGTATTTTAAAAATGCATGGTGGGGCATTCCTGTAATCCTAGGAGGCTGAGGCAGGAGGATCACAAGTTTGAGGACAGACTCAGTCATTTAGTGAGACTCTGTCTTGAAACAAAAAATAAAAAGGGTTGGGAATGTGACTCAGTGGTAGAGAACCCCTGGGCTCCATCCCCAACACCACAAATGAAAGAAAATGAAAACACAAAAGCCCCATATGAGTGAAATTGAAGGCAGACCCCTCAACTCATCATCGTATTTGACCCTCACACCTGTCCTGGGATATAAGGCCTCAAAGTGGGGCCCAGGGAAGTATTTAGAAGGATCCCATTTTCCACAGTTGCTGAGACCCTGGAAGTTAAGTGCTTTTGCCCAAAGTTGTACAGCTGTACAAAGAGCCAGGCTGAACATCAGAGCTGGCTCTTTTGGACTCCTGGTTTTCAATTTTACATTCTTTTGCCCATATTTTTTTTTCTCATTTTCTTTGCTATTTCCCATGTCTTTCCTATAGACTTGTACAATGGGCCGAGAGCAAGAAGACCTGTGAGCAAGGACACTTGTCTGGCGCCTGTGTGAAGAGGTTGGCCTGGGGCCTGAGGTGGGAGGTTTCTTGCTTCTGTCTGGCTGTCTCTTGGGAGTCCCTTTCCTCCTTCCCACAGGTCCCAGGGCCTGACCTTCTTGCCTTTTCCTTCTTACTGGTGTCTCCCGAGTCCCAACCTGTCTCAGCAGTGACACCATCCCTCCTGCTCTCTGTCCCTTACTGCTGTAGAGCTGTCCTCATGGGTTGTCCTGCCTATCACTGTGCCCTCGGCCCATTGTACGTTAACAAGACAGGGGACATGGCATGCTAATGTGGCTCCTGCATGAGACCCCACCTCCAGAGGCTCCCCTGGTTTGTGCCTTCATTCCTGAGACCATGGCTCCCTATGGCTCCCTATGGCTCCCTCGTGCTCATCTCTCCGTGGTTCACTCTCCTCCCCTCTGGAGGTCGGTGGGCGAGCAGCAGGTAGGGCCAGCCACTTGTGGTCCTGTTCTATTGCAGGACTCCAGCTCTCCAGCTTCCTCTGTGCCTAGTTCTCCAGCTCAAACCTTCCACTCCAACCAGGCTGGCCTCCGCTCTGTCCCTGGAACAGGCTGTGTTCATCCTGCCTGTCCATCTTCCTCCAATCGGAAATGGCCTCCCTTCTCCTTGCTACAGGACCACCATTATAGGTATGTGCTCAGTGCCCCCCTCCTTTTCTGCCAAACCTTCCAAATGGACTCCTTCTTCTCCTTGCTCACTGCCACCCTGGGTCTTGACCTTCATCCTCTGGTTCTTGACTCTTCCCTAGTCTTCAGGGGCCTAGAAGACAGTAGCTTAGTGGCCCTGGCTCACCAACAACTCCAAAAGGCAGGCAGATCACCCCAAAGATCAGGAGATCAAGGAAGCTCATGCCCTGGTTTTGGAATGCCCATCCAGTGACCCTAGCACACAGTTTCTGTCCAGTTTGGGCAGTGCTATGTCTACTAGGCATCCCTAGGATTATCCCTGAKCTGGGAAGAGGCTCTAAATATAAACCTCTGTCAATGTGCGATTCGAAGAAAGGTGGTACTCAGTATTCTCAAGGGAATTAAACATTTGCTGAGGATTATCTGCTAGGGGAATCTCAGTGGAGCTCTGATGGTTTAGTTTTGGAAATGGGGCTCAGATGGGAAATGGACATTTGTTGAGTACCTGCTATGTACCATACTGTTTTTGTTTGGTACTGGGGATTGAACCCAGGGGCACTTGACCACTGAGCCACATCCCCAGCCCTATTTTGTATTTTATTTAGAGACTGAGTTGCTTAGCCTCTCATCATTGCTGAGGCTGGCTTTGAACTCATGATCATGATTTGTCTCATCTTCCTGAGCTGCTGGGATTACAGGTGTGTGCCACCACGCCCGGCACCCTTTCTATATTTTATTTTGGGATAGGGTCTCATGAATTTGCTTAGGGCCTTGCTAAATTGCTGAGGCTGTCCTTGAACTTGTGATCCTCCTGCCTCAGCCTCCCAAGTTGCTAGGATTATAGGCATGTGACACCAAGCCCCGCCCAGTGAGATTAAATAATTTGCTTGGAGGATACTCACTAGTCCTTTTCTGTTGCCTTCCGTATCCCACACAGATACTTGTTTGTGCTTCAAGAGTGATGAAGGATGGGGACACTCAGAAGTGTCTAGCTCAAACCTAGCAGGGCTCAGGTGGATTTTGCTGGTTTTTCTATTGGACACGTGTGAACATAACCTTGCTGTTTAGCTAAATTCCTAATGATGCAGAGTAGGAAAAATTCCTGCAAAGCGCTGTTGATAATTCCACCAAAAGGTATAAAACTGTGATGAGAAGAGAACTGATGGGGTTCCATCCTGCCTCTGCCACTGATAGGCAATGGTGGCCTTAAAAAGGCCTTCTGAGAGCTCAGCAGACTGCCAAAATGAAATCATGGACAAGGGTGCCTTATTCTATTTTTTCTTTTATTTCTTATTTATATGTGGTGCCAAGAACTGAACCCACATGCTAGGCAAACACTCTGCCACTGAGCCACAACCCAAGTCCTCTAATTCTAAATCTTCATAGAAATAGGAATTTTTTTGAGCATTGATTCACTTAAATTAATTCTGCAAACTGGAACCGGGGAACCATTGGTATGTTAAGACCCAGTTCAAGGTCACACAAGAGCAACTGCACATGGAGCACCTCCCCTATGGGAAGGCCTGCAGGAATGCCAGCAAAGAATGGGAGAAGAAATCCAGGTTACTAAAGGGGGAAGCAGGATGCCAAACACGGGGACAGACCTGTTTGTGTTTGGTGTCTGTGTAACACCAGGGCCTGCTGCCACAGGGATGAGAAAGCACAGTAAACCAAGTGGAGAGCAGGGAGCAGAGGCGAGGGCCTGAGTTGGGTACCTACCTCTTCCTTACCATATGCTCCCCAGTAGGAGATAAGGAAAATGTACTGGGTGGCTTCTACCTCTGGTGAGAAGCTAGTGGGATAGGCAAGAGTTACAGTTCTTTGGGCCATCCACTTGGCTACAAGCCTATTGTTTCCATTTTGAAGAGGATCTTATCTACCTGTGGCTAGGGGGAAGTCATCAGCTTTAAAATCTTATCCTGGGTTGGGCCACCCACTTTGATGGAGGCCAGGGAAATCTGGGTCCCTCGAGGAGAAGTTGCAGGATTTGAGTTACTGCTTCCAATCCCGCCTTCTGCACTCTTGGACAATGCCCAGAAAAGTGCCCCCTCCATGAAGTGGGTTTAACAGCCATACTCAGGCCTCCACACAAGCTGGTGCTTGCCTCAGTGAGGATCGACTAGATAGGCTGTGGGTTTTCAAGTATGTGGAGCAGGGAAGGCAGGAAGAATCCCCATGAAATGCTAAGCTTACCTAGAGACTTCAGCTTCTTAATTCTAAAATCAGGGCTGGGGTGTGGTAGAGCTCTTGCCCAGCATATTGGAGGCCCTGGGTTCAATCCCCAGATGACACACAAAGCATTTGCCTAGTTCTAAAATCAGCAGAAATGGAAAAGCTGAATAGCAAGAATAATCAAGAGGAAAAAATCAGATATGGTGGAGCTTGCCTTCATCTCAGCAACTCAGGAGGATTGAAAGTTTGAGGCCAGCCTGGGCAACTAAGAGACCCTGTCTCAAAATGAAAAAAAGGACTGGGGATGCAGATGAGTGGTAAAGCACCTCTGGGTTCAATCTCCCACACAAACACCAAAAAGGGGGAAAAATAGAGAATGTTTCTGAGTGCCTCAAGGAGTTAATCCCTTTAAGGGGTTAAATCCAAGTCTTGGAAAAAAAAAAAAAAAAAAAAAAAAAAACCTTTAGGGGACTGGCTCCTGAAACTCAGGGGTACAAGCGCTTGCCTAGCATGTGCAAGGTTCTGGGATCCATTCCTAGCACCACAAAAAAAGGTAAAAACAAAGCCCCTCAGGGAACCAAACCTTTAACATAAAGGCAGCTGTTCCTATTTTAAAGAGGAAAGAAGCTGAGGTCTTTATCAAGGACCAGGCTGGATCATTTCAGGTCAAGCCACTCTGCTCCAAGAGTGAGCTGTCCTGTGTTCAATGCCCACTGGAGAGGCTTGATTTAGCTCACTGTAGGCCTGCATGGGCCCCATACATTTCAGCAAAGAACTGTGTACCCAGACCAGCAAATTCATTTGAAGGTGTTTTAGGTAATTATCCCAGGTGTAAAAAAGGTGTCATGAAGGAGAATGATCTAAGACATGCTGAGATCTTTAGAAGTGTGATATGACACCTCACCCCTAAATATTTTGGCCAAAATAAAGGATGTATAAACAAATATAAGGGGTTGGGGTTGTAGCTCAGTAGTAGAGTGCATGCCTAGCATATGTGAGGCACTGGGTTTGATCCTCAGCACCATATAAAAATAAATAAAATAAAGGTAACGTGTACGTCTAAAAATAAAAAAAAAAATTAAAAAAATGCAGGAAAAAATCAGTAATCAGTGAATCTTGATGAATAATATACTGTTCAAAATGCACTCTTTCAGCTTTTCTATAGAATTGAAAAATTTAACAAGTGAATAACTTTTTCCAGAACTTACTTGGAGAATGAATTACATGGCCCTTAATATGCTTGGAGCCCTTCCTGCATTCACACCCTTCCCAAATCAAGATTCCACCATTACCAGCTTCTTTCTCAAAGCTATTATTTATTCTGTACAAGGTTCCACTGTACATTAGACATTCTTCTACTCTTGCTTACACAGTAAACAAGTGTACACCAGCCCTTGGGCTCAGATTCACAGGTCTTCCCTAGAAAAGGGTGTCAGGCCAGGTAAAACTCAGGGTGTCTTTCTCTAGTGCCTGGTCCCAGGAGCACTGGGATGGTCCAGGCTCCCTGGGGCACAGGCTGGGCCCAGCTGTGGAGTGTGCAAAGTGCACAGTGCTCCATGCCTCAGTGCTGAACAACTTTGCTCTCTGGGATGGCATGGAGTTTTGTCTAACAACTTAGGGCAAAACCCAGGAATCATACAACAGAGGCAAGATGTCCCCAGACACCCAGGCTCCAGCTCCTAAGGAAGGACCAAAGGCCAACACCAAGAGGAGCTGAGGGGTGGCATGGGCATCCCTGAGAAACTCGGTCCAGAGGGCCTGTGTCTAGGAGGCTCTGAGAAGGGGCAGGTGGCAGGAAGGCAAGGGGAAAGGGATGTTAAAAGAGAATAAATTAAAGGAGAGAAGCTCGAGGGACAGGGGGCTTGTGCTATCCTTCAAACAGCTAGGGAGTAGACCAGGGTAGGTAAGAGGTGGCGGACAGGAAGGACTGATAACACTATCGTAAGAAATCGTTTTACCTACTTCCCTCTTAGCCTCACTGCAATGCACAACGTACCAGGGGCTCAGGGCGGGACCCTATTTCCCCCAGTGGGTTTGAACATGGCACTGGGGAAAAGGGAAGGGACTGAGGGATATTTCAGGGAGGGGCAGTTACCCCCTGGTCCCCAAATGCTATAAGGCACAATTCTTGGAGGCAACTAGATTCCATCCAAAACAAAATGAAAAACCCAAAACAAAAACTTGTTTAGATCCCAGGTCTACTGTGGTGTGCTTGGGCCTGGCCAACCCCGCCTAGCACCACAGGGGGCTAGCACTGGGAAAGTTCTACTTGAAGAATTACACAAAAAGGACCAGCCCAACATGCCAGCTGTGAAGGGGTGTGGAGGAGAGGGTCTCCAGTCTGAACACTTTCATTACGGTAAGTAAAAAAAGCTGGGCTTTAAAAAAAAACCCAAACCAGCTTTCCTCAAAGATGTCCCCTTGCCTGTGCCCTTGGAGTTAGCAGCGTTAAGAGGGCTCTTGGCTCATGGGTGCTTCCTGCTCTGGACTGGTGAGCAGGTCCAGGTAGAGACAGGCGCCAGCTCCTCAACGGTGCCATGATGCAGGCAATGGTGCTCCCAAGAAGGCTCCAGAGGGTGCTGTCTTCCCAGGAGGCGCAGGGGCTGGAGAGGACGGCAGGTGGACGAAGATCTTCTCCCCACAGACTGCTGTTGTTTATTACACACAGGAAAAAACCACAAGCTTAAAAATGCAAACAAGAGAAGCCGAGGGAGCACTCTGCTGACTCCGGTCTCTGTGTCCAGTGGATCTTCCCGCCAGGCCATGGCTTGGGGGCACCCAGCTCCTTGCTCCAGACCCTGACCAGGCTGCATCAACTCCTGCTCAGCAGCTTTATTTTAGTTTATTTTTCTCTTATTTGTCAGGTTTTTTTTTGTTGTTGTTGTTTTGTGTTTTTTTTTTTTTTGTCTTTTTAAAAAACTTAGGGTGTGGGGCCACCACGGGGAAGGGGAAAGGGCTGTAGCTCCTTGCTGCTACATACGGGAGGGTGGACTGGCCAACTCGTAGAAGAGCAAATAGGCGTCGCTGGTGCGGACTTGGCTGGAGGACATGGGCGTGACACTGTGAAGAGAGCAGGGAAAAGTCAGAGTCCTGGCCTGGGAGGCCATCAGGTTCACAGAGCTGAGTGGCTGAAGAAGTGTGAGGCCCCTGTTTCTCACTTCTCTATTACACACCCACAGCCAAACTCTGTTGGTTTGGTTAGGTTAATACTGGGGGTTGAACTCAGGGGAACTTTACCACTGAGCCACATCCCCAGCCCTTTTTATTTTTTWAAAAAAATTTGAGACAGGACCTCCCTTAGTTGCTAAGGTGGCCTCAAACCTGGAATCCTCTTGCATCAGCCTCCCAAGTTGCTGGGACTACAAGGCATGCGCCACCAGGCTTGGCCCAACTTCTGTGTCTTTTGATAGCCTCAGAATGGGCAGACTTGTGTGTGTTAAGTAGCTTTTGAGCATGCACTGAGAGACTTGTGGTCTGACAGCCAGGAGCCCTGCCTGAGCCCCCTCTCCCACCTGGAGTCATTGAAAGTGTGCCATTCGCCTGTCACTGGACTTCGGCAGTAGGCTGTATAATGGCCGCCCATGGTGGTTCCGGAGTGATTGGACACAGCATACAGGTTGTAAACAGCGTGGTCTGGGGAGGAAATGCAAGGCATTGAGTCCAGGGGCACTCTCTATGGCCCTATTCCCTCCTCCTGCCTCTTCTTCCCAATGTTTTGCTAACTCATGTTAGCTTCCTGCCATTTCCTTGCTTCCCATCTGTATCTTAGACACTGTGCCCTGATTCTTCACTTCTTGAAGATACTCACTGGTGTTTTCTGAGGCAAATTCTCTCAAGTCCAGGTCTCTTAGTGGGAAATTCACAAATGTTGTGAGCTTGCTGGTTCGTATCCTGGATTCTGAGAACCGCTTCAGGTCTGGGATTGATGAGTTAAGGACAGACGGCATGGCAAGAACAGAGGCAACTAGATGAGACCACACAAGCAACTGCACCTTCCTCAGGAAGCAGAAAAGCAAACACAAGGAAGTCTACAAGTTTCAAATTTTCCTACTCTGCTCCCCCCACCAAAATTTTGGTGATTTTTGATGATCTCTTTGTCATCGGTCATTCTCATAAGTCAGGTCCCTGCTAGGTGCAGTGGCACAGGAGGTCGAGGCAGGAGGACTGCTATTTCAGTCAGCCTCAGCAACTTAGAGGAGACCCTGTCTCTAAATAAAATTTAAAAAGGGCTAGGGCCAGGTGCAGCAGTGCAAGTCTGTAATCCCAGTGGCTCAGGAGGATGAGATAAGAGAATCACAAGTTCAAAGCCAGCCTCAGTAATGGCGAGGTGCAAAGCAATTCAGTGAGATCCTGTCTCTAAATAAAATACAAAATAGGACTGGGGATGTGTCTCAGTGGTCGAGTGCCACTGAGTTCAATCCCAAGTAC